CCCGTTCAGGGACACCGCCGACCTGGGGCGAAGAAGGGCGAAGGGCAAGGGCGAAGGCGGTGATGAGAGACTTTCTCTGGTGGACATCCTATCCGGAGGTACAAAACATAACCCAGACACGACTGATGGGACTGCCATATATGCCTACATTGACCCCCAACTGATCGGCATATATGGCAGTCCCATGGAGTGTCTGGGTAAGGGTACTTAAAGGCACCCTCAAAAGGGTCCGTCCTCCGTTAGAGGACAAGTGAGGATCTGGCTTCGGTAAAACGAACATGTCTGGGTAAGCAACATGTGCAGCTTCGCCCCAAATGGGTCGGTCCATCACCTCCACAGGTGAGCATCCCTTCCGAAGGAGAGAAGGAGAGAATGAAGGAGCAGAGGCCTGGAACAGTCAACTTTGCAAAAAAGACTCAGCTGCTGCACTGGAATCATGGTTTTCAGTGGATGGCACCGAACCGCCTGGTCTGATGACCAACGACCCAAGTATTCACCACCGTCAGCAAGTCAGCGGGAATGGCGGGCCTTCACCGGGTGTGCCGGTCCCTCCACGTCATGATGATCTCACGGAGTGTATATGTCTGTTATACCGGCTAATACTCCCCTATGGATCCAAGTACCCTCTGAGAAGGTGTTTGGGGTGGGTGCCAGGAGGGTCCAGTTGTACCTTTTGAGAAGGTACTTGGATCCCTAGGGTACTCATGTATACTCTGTTCTACTCTCTTCCATGATGCACACTATAGGGCTACTACGTAAGCTCAAACAATTCGCCTGCGCCGCGGACCAAGTATACAACCCCTCACAAAATGGGCCGGCGTTGAGTTTACGTTCTATGTGGGTCATGAATGCCTTTGTGCCCTAGAACAGTTGACGTCACAGGTCAGGAGCTGACCTGAATTTTAATTACTGGAGTTGATCAGTTGATCAATCCGCTAGACTCAGGGCCAGGAGACTTGACCTGGGTCGCCCACGGCACCTCCAACGTCTATCGCCCACGGCAGCCAAGTATCTCCAAGCTGTGGATTTCGACGCACGAGCCCAGACGAGGCCCTTCTTCTCTCGACCGGCTGCGGCTGCGGCTCCCAGTCGAGCTCTCACTGGACGACATGTGGGCGCCAAGCGGTCGCGCGGTCCGAGGTGCTGGATGCGGACCGCAGAAGCCCGAAGAACACAACGAACTAGCAGCACTATAGTAGTCTTACACCCTGGAAGACTAACATGGAACCTGAAAACCCCTGGGTGTAGAGGAAGATAGTCTTCCATGGGACCATTCTCAGGGTCTATGTTAGTTTTCGGGAGTGACCTGTTCCTTTCCATTTCTTTCCATGCTTAGGGAAACCACTTCACAACCACGGACTGATAGCACCAAGGTCAAAAACCACCTGAACGGCACATGAGCCGCATACAAACAACGATTCATCTTCTATCTCTGTGTGGTCGTCGATCTTCAGTAGTTTCGTGCATGCCTGTGGTTGTCTAGCACTTCAGCAATTCCGTGCAATATCCATCTCTTCAGTAATAGTTCTCTGTCTAAGTTACAAACTGCTCAACTTCACTCAAAGGCTGCAAACAGCTGTTCTGCGCTGACCATGCTGCCATGCTCTCCCTCCACCAACAAAAAGGCTGGTCGACTGGTCAAAACCTTTTTTGGGTCTTTGTGCCACTTTGTGCTCCAGACATTTACAGTAACCTCATGCAGAGAAGAAAGGAAGGAAACAACAAATAAGAAACAAGACCAGGCCCAATTGCCAATATATTACACAAAAACAATGGCACTGCTGTCCTGATCTCTTGGTGATTCCCCAAATCTAGAGTTGCCCCCGTTGAGTTGTTCCGAAGCCTTTTAAAGCCTGAGTCCTACCCTCCCAGGGTTTGCACCTGAGAAATGTACAAGAACACATGTTTCACATCTGCTAATCCACCAAGCATCGCACAAGCACGTTGACCAAATCAAAATGCTGACTAGGCTACAATTCAGCAGTGGGAGTTGTTGGCTAGGCAGAATTTGGTGGTGTTCATCTCGGAACCTGTGAAGCACTATACAGTCAATACAGCCTGCGCACCTGAAGTCGGATTCGTGCAGGCCAAACCCTGCGCGAAACCTCTTTTGCCCCAGAAACGCGAGTTGTGCCCCCCCTTGTGACGCTTGTATTCACAAGCGTGGGAACCCATGCAAAGCAACATGCGGTGTCGAATCCACCACGAGAATCTAAAGTCTAGAGTCCAGTCTAGAGACTAAAAAGGTGAGGTATTACCTCCTCTAGGCCGGAAGATCAGAAATTCCAAAGTTCGAGCCTTAAGCAAGAAGCGCGGCAGTCGCTCAAGGGCTCAAACTGATAATTCCCAGGGGCTCCTGTGAGGCAATAGGCGCAACAACTCGTGGAATGGGGCGAGGCAAGAAGGGGCGAGGCAAGAAGCGCAGCGACTAGATGTGCCATGCAAGAACCCTTGCAGCACATGTTTCCTACTGTAGATGTCAAGATGTCACCAGGCTTTGGGTCCAAACTCTGTTGAAACGGCTACAGATTTGAGGCAAAGAAACATATAATAGTTCATTCAGCCCTTCAAGTCTTCCCAGACCTGAGCACCTGGTCCTTTACGTGACCTTTACACAAGCATTTTGCATCCAAGATCTGTCTGTCGATAGGGATTTTCACACTGTCGATGGACTGGTCAACAAGCTCCCATCCGTCCCATCCCAATGACTCCGTCGAAGTCTGATCACAGGAAGCTGATCACCTCGGACATATATGAAGTGCTTGTGAAATACACATTTCTTCGGTGCAGAACGCTCCCGGACCTTGGATTTGGTGTCCCCGGGGCAAAAGCAACCTCGTCAAAAGCAGGGTTGTTACCCCCCGGAAGTGGGACATGACCTCTACATCACCCGATCGAACAAAAAACAAACATGAAACACAAACAACAATGTACCCAGGACCTTCCATATTTGGGATTAAGGGGTGTCCAAAAAACACATGACTTGGAAGGTGCTGGTATAACATACCTACATTGATCCCTTTTCAACCGCCCCAATCGATTGGTGAAAATGCCAGTCCCAAACAGCTCCGATCTGAGGATTTAAAAAAGAACACACACGCACATGCCCAGCATGGCCATTCTCCTGCTGGCAGCAGGATCCTTAGAGGCGCATCTTCACCCGAAGTTCCTGGCGCCAAAGCTCCGCTCGTCGTTTCCCCGTCTTCCCGTGTTTCTTCCAGCGGGGAAGAAGGGGTTCCAAGCTAGCACCACCTGGAGTGACGGCGATTCAGTCGACCCCTACCTGGAGTCGACCCGGACCTCGTAAATCAGAAAATGGTGAAAGGAAAAACCTAATAATAAAGGGGCTTTTGTATATAATCCAGCCCCCTGAAACGGAAGGGTATTCAACCGGAAGGGTTTTGGTCGTCGTCAGCATTGGGCGGAATGAATTGGCTTTGAGATCCCTCGAGATTTGATATGTGATTTTGTGCGAAACAAAAATCACATGTTAATCCCTTCCACCTATTAAACAACACGGCCCCCCCTATTAAGAAAAACTCAGTCGCTTATTTTTAATAGGGGGTCCCTGAAACCGGGGTGGTCCAAGATAGTGTCACCTTGGAAGAGCTTCAAAACCAAAAAGTCACCCAGAAAAGTTTTACATAAAATCCCAGATCGAAGGGTCTTCCTTTTCCCCTACAAACACTTTTGTTAGAATAGTGATTCTTCATTAGACTAACAACTAAAGCTTTCGAAAGGTGATGTCGCTGTGCCATGCGGTTTTGCGTGAGTCCGTGCCATTGGGGGAAGGAAAGCCTGCTGGTGTAAAAGCGGCGTGTCATGGTGGATAAACAGGGTGGACAGAGGTGGGCAGTTACGGTTGTTTTTGGAACCTAATTAAAAACACACAAAAAAAGACCCCTAAAATCGACCGACAATGTTTGTAGTTTAGTAGCGGTTTGAAAGGAGGCTTTTTAAATAGGTACTCGGGATTAGATGGAAACAAATGAGGAAACCAATTCAAAAATAAGTGCAAGTAGAAGGAGACAACTGAAGACAAATCACAACAAGACAACACATGACAAAATGAAGACAACAACACCAGAAGCAACACCAAAAGAGCCAAATCAAAGAGTGCCAAATCAAACAACATACCAATTGATCTCAAATGATCTCAAATGAATTACTGTATCTCAAATTATATCATTTGTTTTCGAATCATCTCAAAATATCTCAAAGAATCTCTAGCTAAATGTAACACCTAAAGGAAACACTACTACTTGTCCCAGCAAAAAAAACATCTCAAATTATCTCAACATTTCTCGGAAGAACTGACATGGCTCCAGGACAAACTATCTCAAAAATTATCAGAACCAGTGGTCACATGTCGGGGTGGTGCTTGGTCCCAGCCAGGGGCTGTTGATGTGACAGGGGCATCCCTAACCTCCGTTCGGAACCGGCACCCCGTCGAACGTGACTCCTGGAAGATGCAACTGTCCTGGTGACAAGTGTGCAACATCTATGAAGCACCAGGACACTCCGTGTGCATGGTGTCAGATTTGTTGTTTTCCTGCTGTCAGATTTCTGAAGCATGGACGTCAGAGGTTGACAATGGAAGGACACTTTGGCCGCTCAGTTGCCTTCAGTTGTTATCACATATCCATATAATACTAATACTAAATAAACATTGACAGGCTTATATTAATGCTAATTCCTCCAGCTTTGGGCTTTGGTAAGTCTGATCAGTTTTCAAGTGCCCTCGAAGCCCAGTCTGACCCAGCAAAACTTGGTCCTGAAGCCTCATGTTCGTAATTTTTTTACCAACTCCAGTTTCCATTTGAGGTCAGTTCCTGATCTGGGCGCCTGAGGTACGGCCCGTGCCAACGAGTTCCAAACGAGTTCGCCAACTCCAGAGGGTGACGACCTCTGTTTGGTGGAAAAAAAGCTGTCGCTACGAGGTCACTGACCTCATTCGACTTGGGGTTGATCATACAAAAGCAATACAAACCATGAGGTTTTCAGGAGCAAGTCGGGTTCACCGACATGTCACACTGGACCTGTTTTTCAGGCCTCGAGTTGGATGCATCGCCAGACCGCTCTAGGCGTCCCGTCCCCAAAATAAGCTCGTTGAAAACATGAAAACAACGCGCCTGGTACAACTTGTTGCCAAGATCGTCATCTCCGCCACAGAGCTGTACAAAGCGCACATTGGGCCAGCGGAGCAGATTCCTCGGCGGCGAGCGATCGGCGCTATCCGCGCGCCGAAGCTCGCTGGGCAGATCCAATTTGTCACGAGGTGGTCGATGCCACGATGTACCGGTTGCACACGACGAATATAGGGCTATCCTCTCTCCATATGGATCCACTGGCACCTTCTCAGGTTCGGTATGACTATCCCCTCCTGGTGCATACAAATTTATAGTCTCCAATCACGTTCTCGGAAGGTACGTGGATCCATAGGGTCTATTAATCAACTAAATCAATACTAAAAGGCCATCTATGATTCCACAAAGCCTCCTGGTGTGACACATCAACGGGCCTATCGAGGCACCCCAGAAATGGGTAACAATACTTCTCTTGAGTCCCTTGTACCAGGACCTTCCACTAGGTGGTTTTTGGACACCTCTAAGAGGGTATTTATAGACAAGTTTTGGAGTAGCTGTTTTGATTGTCTCGATTCAATATTGCATTTGTTTCGGCATGCTTCCGCCGTCTATCACAGAGTGTCATATGATATATCATTTCCAAACAACTTCTGGACATAGTACCGGCAAATTATAGAATTTGTATCACAACCAAAATCAACAACATATTCTATAATATCATCACAGTCAGAGTTGCAAAACAATGATATTAATGGGTGGTTTGCTTGATGGATTTTGGATGTTTTTGACTGTTTTTGGTCGGTGGCCGTAGTTGGCTGTGGGACATGGAAAACGGTCGAAGATTCTTCACATCTGGAGGCGACCGGTTGGTACCTGGTCGTATATGGTCGGGCCATGCCTGAGTTTGGGCCACGTCTCATGTTCCTTCTGCTGCTAACTGGTCCATCGGGTCCAGCTAGAGAGACTCCTTCATCGAAGAGCTGGACACCACCCCTGGTTGGGACCATATCCGAAGGGTCGAGGCTCTTGCCGTCGGTGCCCTTGGAGACACAGGCAGCAAATTGTTTGGCACGACCACCAGCAGCCTCTTCCAACCACTGCCGCACCTCGATGAAGTCAACACGCACGAGAAGCGCGAGAAGCGAAGCAGTGCGAAGCGGACGCAGACTCGGTCTGATCCGGGTCCCTGTAAAAATCTACGTTCGTACCTCGAACAATGGGAACCAACCGTACCTGTTTTCTGTTCGGGTCATGTCCTACTCTCCACAGTATACCTGAAGTTGGGTCCAGGTAGTTCAAACATGTTCAAAGCATGTTCAACCTCCCCTCCACCAACAAAGGTTGAAGAACCCTATGCCAGGAGTCACGTTCGACGGGGTGCCGGTTCCGAACGGAGGTAGTCGGGGTGCCCCTGTCACATCAACAGCCCCTGGCTGGGACCAAACACCAGGCACCACCTATGACCCCTGGTATAGACTCTATATGTCGACTATCCCATGGGTACCGACTTTTCCGGGCCCTAAAAGGAAAAGGTGAATGGTCCCCTCTCTTGGGAGTCGCCTTCAACGGGGTGGTTTGGCTCATCCCATCCAGGGGCTGTATATATGTGACAGGGGCACCCCCGACTTCGGACAGCACCCCGACTTACTTTGTGACTGCTGGCATTGGCAGTGCCTCCTGATTTCTGTTTCCCTCCCTTCTTCGGATTCCTCTGGCGTCCCGTTCCCGGCGGTTGACCGCCCCAAGGGTCACGCCTTCCTTTCGCGCCCGGACCCGGTAGGACTCAACCGCCCCTACGGAACGGCCTCTGTCTCGGACCATGACTTGGGATGGCTTTCCTTGGGCTTCTCCTGAGAAACGATGGAAAGAGACGGCGTTCTTTCTTCGAAAAACACCAACTATTGTCGACCTTCCTGTGACCTCCAGTCGTATGCCTGAGTTGTTGGTTTAGGTTTTACATGATTTTACTTTGGAAGGTCTATAGGCAAATAGATCGGAATAGAATGTACTTTTGATCTTTCTGTTTGCGCTGTTTGCTTCACTTCTGCCAAGCATCCACCTCAGCTTTGGGCTTGCCGACATCTTCCCGCTCATCAAAGAGCATTTGAGTCCCTTGCAGCTGCTGAAGTGCACGGAGAGTTCCTCAGTCGCTCGCCGCGTAGTCCGCCGGACGTGCTTCCAAGCATTCATCTCGGCGGATCATCCCAAAGAACTATTAATTTAAATAAGGATGTTGCACGAATTTCAGAAACCAGGTGGACCAGGTCAACCATTTTTGTACGGTAGTGGTGTTGGAGGTCTAGGGCCATGGCATGCAATTACTATCATGGCTGGTAACCAGTGATAACCAAACTAGAATGACCTAGAATGACCTATAGAAGTTCTGCTTCGTTATATAAATACTTCCAGTATATGGCTGTCTGGGATCCTGTGGGTTGTATACACCATCTTTTGATATCTGTTGTGCATCATCAACTCAACTCGTCTTTGAATTCTTCCTTCGATCGGCTCTTTTGGCACGTGGGGTGTGCATTAGACCGAACCGCCGGCGTTCCGACCCCCCCTGGAAGGGTCGGAGAATAGACCAGTCTACCACTCAGTCAGGACCAGGGTGGGGACCCCTTCTTCAAATACACACCCACATGGCTGTAGGTCAAACCGACCGGTTGATCGCTAGCGAGACTGGTCGGTCAAGCTACAGGGTTCACTGGGCTCCAAGTCGTGACTCATCCCCACATGGCTGGTATTATTGAGAATACATGTACAACAACATCGTCTTTGAGATCAGCATGGTCTTTCAAGCCACATGCCTTTGGCCTTCTGGTGGCATAAGATTGATTAATTGATATTAATTGTCTGCATTGAAGCCAAAACGATACTATAATATGTTAAACTAATGTTACATTGCAATGCTGCATACAACGTCAGTAGAAGCATCAAGATGCGTCAATTACCAGACCATCCACCAGAATCTCACCCAACAAATGATGAAGAATATGTTTGGTCCATGATCACCCCAAGAAGCACCTCAAACTTCCCCAAGAACACCCCCCTAAACCAAACGCTTCGAACGACCGAGAACGCGCGCAGAGTGCGCCCGAGAACGCCCCCCCCCTAAGCGTCACATGCCGTGGTGCCAATGGAGTGCTCCGTGTCCTTGGCCGCAGGACTCACTGTGCCGATGGCCACCACCAAGGCTTCGGCACTACCGAAGCTGTCGGCCAGCACACGAGTCAACAAGCTCTCCCGATAGGGCGGCTGACCTGCCGAGCGAGGCGGAGGCCGAGCTCCTCGCGAGCGGCGTCTGAGACGGGAGGCGAAGCGGTAGGACGAGACGGAGACTGCGTGGCTGTCTGGCCGTTTCGCGTGTTGGAGAGCAGCAAAGAGGTTTGTTGGCTGTCTATAACTTGATATTTTGAAGTGGTGTGGGAAGGGTTTGGGGTTGAAAGGGTTGCATTTAAAAAGTTGGTGTTGAAGATTCATACTCCAGAATGATCTCTGGATGCCGTGGAGGTTCTCATCGCACACCTTCCCATTCTTGGAGATGCTTCGACTTCTTGGTTTGGAGCCGAGAGAGCACTGGCTTTGCCTTTTCCTCCAGGGGTCTCACCTGGTCCAGAATGGCTTGTTGGGTCCCAGAGATCTGCATGTATACGATGAGCATCTAAAGAGGCAGGGTGAAGGGATGCAACGATCCCACTTATCTACTACCTGGAGTCAATCATACTCTGATTTCCTTCATACCTCACAGGGTGGGCCTTAACCAGTGACCTGGCCTCACTTACTTGGTTAACCTGGCCATGTGAAGTCCAGGTACCTACTGGTACCTACTTACTGGTACCTACTGCTGCGGACAGACGGCCAAGACCGCTGTGGCGGTCTTAGGTGGCGCTGACGTGCCGGAGGTGTGGGGGTGTGGGCGTGACGGCCTAGGCCCCCAAAACGGAAACAACACCGATCCCTTTTGTTTTTGACACAAAAAGGATCCGACACGGAAGCCAGCTATAGATATACATGTACACTTGTTTTTCGCTGATGGACCCCTGTTTGGGAGCCAAAACGTGGTCTTTGTCTATCAAAACAAAGGTCAAATGGGTTCTACAGGTATCTTATATATTGATACACGCCACGGCCCAAGAAACCTCTGCCAGTCTCTAAGAGGGCACACTTCGACTATTGAGTGCACCAAGATCCACTGAGGAGACTAGTTGGAGGAAACTGCTCACTCACCTGCCTGACCTAATCCTTGCAGCCCGGAAGAGCCCCAATTCAATTCCTTGCAAGCTGCCATGAAACCATGCCAAACACCACACCCCAACCACTGAAACTGCCAAGCTTCACAAGCCCATCTTTGGTCCAAAACGGTTGAAGGGTTTGGTTCCGACTCCCACAGTTCTCCTGGACAATTGCTACCAGGAACTTTAGCCAATTCCCAAACAAGTTCAAGCTTATCCACTTTAAAGATCCTGGAGTTCTTCCATCTGCCCACAAAGGGGCCCCTCCCCCTTGAACAAAACGTCCCTCTTCCGCCGTCCCTGCCCACCCTCCAACGTCCCGCACCTTTGGAGGATCGCATGACACGAAAGCATTCCTTGAGCGCGAAGATGGTCGAGTTGATTTCAGCGGCATCCTGACGGAGCACCGGAGCATCGCACGTGGAGTCTAGACGCACAGAACTGGTATCCCCGTCCACTCGTAGGCCCCAGCTATCACCGCATTATTCGCATTATTCTCCGTGGCCCTAATGGGTATATACAGTGGAATAAAGAATGAATAAGAGATTCTTCTCTGTGCTTCAGGTCTGCATGTGCCACACTGGTGGGGGACCAGCTGCATCCTGCAGATTTCAGGTTTTAGAACCCCCAAAACAAGCAAAACATGGAACTTGTACCAGCAGTTCCATGTCTGCGTGCCGAACTGGAGGATAGGGGGTGCCCATTATGCACTCACTGGATGGGACGAAACACCACCCCAAGCTTGGTGACTTGTGGTAGTGCATCTCTCTTTTCTTCCTGATGTGCTGAATTGTCTTGGGGATTCTGGAGGGTCTGACAGGCACCGAAAGAGGTCCGCCGCACTCGACCTTGGACCAAGGACGAGTGTAACCAAGTCCAGCTAGGAGTCGAGACTTAGCCCTAGGGCTACTGGCCCATATCCGAAGGTGGAACTGACCCCCTTAAACCACCCACCGAACCGAAACGGAGGAAATGGAGGTGGTTGGAGTCCAAACGGATAGATAGTTTGTTCACTTGCTCTGGTGGAGCCTCCAGCGTTTCAGACCACTTAAGCATTAGGACGGAGTCGACCTGGAACTCGTGACCTCACAAGTCTGGGGGCCCCCAGGAAAGTATGGTGCTTGGTTCGGGTCATGTCCACTGCGACTTCGTCGGGCTGCCGGTGGTTCAAACATGGTTCGGTTCAAACAGAGGTTGAAGAACCCTCTAGACTCTATCCCTAGGGATCCAGTCGTACCTCCTCAAAAGGTACGACTGGACCCTCCTGGCACCCACCCCAAACACCTTCTCAGAGAGTACTTGGGTCCATAGGGCTATGACGTCTACACTTTCAAGGCACCCCAGGCTGCCCCAGGCTGCCCCAGGGTCTGTCAGGTCACTTAACCTCTCTTGGCCGGATGAACATCGTGTGCATCTTCCGGCCTTGCGGCTCCGCGCATCGTGCTGCGTGGCATCTTCCCTTCGCTCGCTGCCCGCGCAATCCACCAACCTGGGCGTGGGAGCACCACGGTGCCACGGTAGGGCATGGGTGCCGAAAGTCCTGAACCCGAACCTCCATACTTGGTGTCTTACTAGGGATCCACATACCTTCTCAGAAGGTACTTGGGCCCTCGAAGCCTACATAAATAGTCTCCAATCACCTTCTGGGAAGGTACTTGGATCCCTGGTGTCTATAAATAGCCTCAAAAAGAGGTGATTCGGAGTGTCCAAAAACCACCGGACTTGGATCCTATTGGAAGGTCCTGGGAATTGATCTGATCGTTTGGAGGCTATGAATAGACATCCCGAATCAACAACAAGCTGTCGTGTGTTTTTAATTGGGTCTTAGACAACCCTGTAGCCTTTTGGTTGGAACATGTTGATGGTTTCGGTTGGCTCCTGGAAACTCTACGAAGTTGACTGACGATGCTGGAGAAACATCTGCACGGTCAAGACCCTACCCCATGTTGCTGCAGTTGTGTCTGAAAGAGCCTCTAATAGAAACGCATTGAGTCTAGCCCATTACCAGTAACAGTGGATGATGGTGGTATGTATAGTAAAGGCCTCGTTGCAAAATAGACATACTTGTGTACTGACTGTTACAGGTAATAGGACAAACAGACCCAAGAAATGGATGTCTTAGCATGTACCACCCCAAGAGCCCTGTGCAGAAGACAAACACTGCTTGCTAGTGTCTTGGTCTGAGAAATATATTCCAAGTAGGTGTCTATAAATAGCCTCTTAGAGGTTAAGGATGGCTAAGGGGTGTCCCAAAAACCACGTGTTGGAAGGTCCTGGTATAGATCTGACGGATCGGGACGACTTCGTTCGTACACTGCAAGCAAATACCAAAGCACCCCTGAAGCCGTGTGCCCAAACGGATCAAACACTTGCAACATCTCACGTGAGCTTCATTCTTTGTGTCATCTTCACTGCTTCAGGTCCGCCCTCAAACGAGATCGCCTGGAACCGCCATCGACGCCACCGCCTGTTGACCGACGCATCGACCCTCCGTGAACTCGAACCCGGTGGACTGACTCGGTCGACTTCGGTCTGGACACGTCAGGGTGGCATCACCTTTGGTGATGCAAAAGACCGCGTGGGAGCGCGACGAAGTCCTCGGTGGAGATCGGTGGAGATCGGTGGAGGGTGAAGGGATCCAGGTCTGACTGAGCCGCGACTGAGCTTGGGCCAAGGGGAACCCCGCAGCCTGTAGCTCCAAGTTCCAGCTCCCAGTCTCATGGGGTTTCAGCTGGCGATACCCGAGCTTCAGCTCGCACCAGCTATAGAGATTCTATATATTCAATATACTCCCTAGGGCTCCAAGTACCACTTGGAGCCCTGGAAACTGATTGATACTGAACCCCAAAGATGAAAACTAATAATTCTTGGTCTTCCTCAATCGACTAGTCTCTTCATGTAATGAACCTGAACTACCACAGCGGTTCACTGGTTCTGCACACGGTTCATTGGGAGATGCGCATGCCATGCGTCCAACAGGGCCCTGCCTGTTGCGTCGCCCAAATGATCCATGTATGGATTAACTGGTGTCCAATTTATGGCCTAATGTAGGAAAAACGTAAATCACCTACCTAGGACTTCCAATGGGTGTTTAATGGAAACCTATAAGTAGTGCAGGGTTGTGCATTGGTGACTCATTGGAAGCAGCTGGTATACATAAGAAGAGTGTCGAACACATCACCGTACCAGTGGCAGTCATCGGGAAGTACTTGTCAGTGAACGGAACCAGTGTGCGAATCACGCTATGTTCGGCACATGGTTCGGGTCTGTCGAGTTTGGCACTGAATGACTTTCCACTTGTCAATACCCCAGGGTTGGTCGAATGTCTCCTCTATATAGATTGTGTATCCTGTAGATCTGCATCCTGGATTCAAGTTCCGAACCACGATATATATATATATATAGTAGAGTGCAAAATTTGAAGATCAGAAATTCTATATATGGGTGTGCATTGTTAAGGTAGGGAGACCGTCTAAAGACCCCCTGGAAGAAGGAAAATAGACTAAAACCCCTTGGGCCCAGTCGCTAGATGCCCCCCCCGACGTCATATCCAAGGCTCTCGTTCACCTGTGTTGCGCGAGTGGCCCGACCGCCTTGCGCTTGGGTCAAACCACTCAGCAGCGCATCAGGCGATGAAATGTCCTCAGTACTGAGAGTATCTTGCAACCCCAAACCAGAAAGACATGGATGTTTCCCCGGTCCCAGCCATTTCCTATATGTCAAAGGATTTCAATATATGTCAATTGCCATATTGGAAATTATTGGAACAACCATTTGTTTCGGGCTGTTTGGGGTTCCAGGATGAACCACCAATCTCCCCATTCCTCTACCAGCACCCGGCGCTGGCGCTCAATACCCGCCACCGAAGGAGTCTCACGAAGTCTCGGACGCTTCGGTTCTTGGCGGTGGGATGTTGTATAGACACCCTTGTTGCTAGTAGCTTCTACTTGTAGCTATACTACAAGTAGTAGTATACGGCTATTTTTTGCTACCTGTTCCTAATAGCGATGCACTTGTTACTAGTAGCTTCTAGCTTTGGATGTTTGAAGCCAATCACCTTTCTCAACGGTTTCCCCTCTAAACGAGCGATCCGAAACAAAACGTTTGAAGCTGAAAACGGTCTAGCCCTACGGTCTGGCGCCAGTCAGTAGCCAGTAGCCCTGTTTTTGTTCTACTTTTCTTTCTTTCATGGCGTTCAAGCGGGCGCTTGTGCCCATCTGGCTTCGAATTCGAGCCACCTGGTCTACTCCGCCCAGCCTTGGAAATCCGGGCGGTGAACACCGAGTTGGACCAGCGAGCTTCTATGCTCCAGCTTGTGAATTGTGAACCCAACTCAAAAGGTGAGCAGGCAGTTGGCTCTCCAAAACACACCGCTGCCGCCGATGCCAGCGCTTGGCATAGGAGGTGAGGGTACTCCTTGGCGTGGGCCGTCTTCCAGGCACCTTTGTCATTCAAGCCCTGGAGCACCATCTGAGGTCGGACTGCATGGGGGTCGGCATGTTTCGCCAAATTGGCTGCAAAGTTCCGCATGCCAATGGTGCGAAAGGTGGTCGGTTTGACCGAGTCTGCCCCATACTTCCATTGTTCCACCTGATGAAAGCGGCACAGCGGGATGTGCGACAGGAAGTGCACTTGGGTGTAGGCATCCCAGGAGGAGGGCAAGATCGCATCATCCGGGCAATCTTCACGCCGCCGGCTCTTGGGGCGCTCCATGGCACTCATGCCACCGTTCAAGCAAATCATAGTCTCCGCTTGTTGGGAATGCATCAACAGGCGCGTACCCATTGCAAGCTGGCGAAGCTCTCGAGCGATGCGGTCCGGGATGCCCCACAGTGCTTTTGCCGACCGAAGCGGCCGGGGTGGTCTCCGCATGCCATCCGGTGGAGGCAAGTAGCGGGCAGCAGAGAAAGTTTCACATGGTGGACCTGTCAGTCCAAGTGCTGTCACTCCAAGGCGCAAGAACTCTAGAACAATGCGCCAATTGCTGCCATCCAAGTTGCCATAGTGGTCGTCCACCGGCGTGTCCAGGGACAAAAGCACGAAGCGATATCCAGGTGGCAGGACTTCTCGCTGGAAGAAGGTGTGGCAGTCTCCTTCTCGGCGGCGGATAACAAACGAAGAGGGGTGGCTGCTTCCGTGCTCCAGTGACCCCCAATCTCCAACAGGACCACGACGAGGCGGCCAGAAAAGAAATGAAGCACAAAAACCATCTTCTCACCCTTGGAGCCAACCACCACCGGCATGAGTGGCAGGTCCGGAATGTGTTGCACCGGAGAGGCAAAGGGGCGCAGCAGCGTCTCCTGAGTGTAGAAGTAGCCATCCAGTTGGGGCATAGACAGCTGATGGTACACTCTTGGTTGACTGATTGGAGGTGGAGGCGGTTGGGGCGGTTGTCTCCTCAAGATGCGGTCGTACTCATGCATGAGGGCATAGACCGGCATGTCACGGAGGAGGTTGTCCACCTCCTTGTTGACGTGCTGAATCGCCTCGACGTCATCGTAGTTAGTTGATGAAGTGGTCACCAAGACGACCGTCAGCCCAACTTGCCATGGCCCAGGAGGTATGGCCGCCGGTCATCCCATAGCGAGTTTCCAAATTGGAGAGGACAATCAGCCAGGCATCACCGATGTCAAAGCGTTGTGCTTCCGGCAAGTGCAACCAGCACGAGGTAACTCGGTCAAGTTGATCTTCACACTTCTCATACCACTCAGGGGGAAGTGTGTCCGGCAGATCCAATGCACTCCAACGACTCTTCCAATCCTGGAGGGCCTCCGCCTGAACTCGCTGCCAATGTGCAGTGTCCCACTGAGCAGGCGGCTGAAGCTGAACCGTGGGTAGGCGATGTACCCCAAGAAGATGAGCAAGAAACCGCCTTTCCCTCTGACATGAGAAGATGAGCCGCAGTGCCATTTTTCAAAGTCCCGCCTAGGCCTCTGTCCCCTGAGACACCAATATGAACCGTTGCTGCAGCTACTTCGGAGGCTTCACCTGACTTGGATCCACTTTCTGACATCAGCATGCCGGACGCTCCTGAATTTCCTTCCAGAGACGCTGTCGGTTCTCCATGACTGAAAAGCACTGTGTCCTCAGTGACCACCTCGATGCGAGCCTGCGCAGACACAATCTTTGAAGCGAGACCTACAGTCTGCTGGGGCTTCACGAGATGGCTCACACCTGTAGAAACCGTAGCATCCTTTTCGTGAGCAGCGAAGGCAACAGCATCTGTAAGTCCTCGAAACTGTGCAGGCTTTGGAAGACGCAAAACCTCAAACTCGTACATGTGGACCCTTCCTCCACCGGCAACCAAAACCTGAAAGCGCTCCTTCTTTGTCAATGCGCCCAGTTCGTTCTTTGGACCTGTAAAAACACGGACTGGGATCATCAAGCCTTGACTGGTCAAATGACCACAGCCCACACTGAAACCCTTGGCCCGAGACCACCAACTGAGCCAAAGCTTTGACAGCACGGCCAGTGGCTCCTTGAACCTTGCAGAAACCTGGGGAACCAAGGTCTGCAGAAACCTCTCCACAATAGGAGTGAAAGTTGGCTCTGTCCGCAGGCACTGTACAAAAGTCGCTTTGGCTTGGTCTGTCCAATTCATGTCCCGCATTCCTTGGAGAACCTTTGCCTGTAAGGGAGCTTTTGACGCAAACCACGAGACCAATCTGTCAAGCCCTTCTCTTTGCTCCACTTGCTGTTCGGAAGTCTGGTAACAATGAGCACCTTCCGCAACGGCCGTTGCTACCCGGTCTACCACACTCTGGGCGACAGCCTCCGCCAGATATGTGCCTGAATGTTCACCAAAAGAGAAGTACGCAACCAAGGCAATGACTAAAGCAACACGGTTGCGAACCAGCGAAAGGACAAGGACCAAAACGTCACGAGAAGAACCAAGCCTGACAGAAGAGAAGAGAGCGTACACTCCCTCTCGTTCAATGCCATGCTGGGTGATTTTGAACGGGGTAGCCGAAGCAAAGAAAGCAGCATTGTGAGAAGCGCAGCATACCTCGCCAAGAGGCCCAAAACAATTGCCATCCCAAGCGTCCACCGTCCAACTTGGGCTTTAACTTCCACTCCAGTGATCAGCTTGACAAGAAGCGCCCAAGAACTCAGGTCCTGATCTCCAAACACCGTGATGCGCAGGGGAGTCTTCATACTGGACAAACCTTTCATCGCCGGATTGCCTGTCGTACTGTGCAAGACCAGAAGGATGCGCGCTGCCAATGCACCCTTCGTTGCAAATGCAGCACCCAGAGCAAGCAAAATGGACGACATCACCTCAAAAAGCAACCACACCCCAGCCTGTCACTGCAATCAAAGCCGCTCCCCTCGCGCCAATGCCAAGCAAGCAAGCGGCAAGCTCCACTGGGGATGAAGGTAACTCTGCAGACGCTGTGACCAAAGAATAGATCAAAAAGATCAAGCGATAAAAGGCACCCCATCCTGTAAGAGTCAGGCCAACATACCTTGAAAACGCCCAAACAAGAAAGCCGGCCACGAACACAACCAGACGGGGGCCAAATCTTGGAAAAGAAATTGAAACGAAATAAGGAGTGAACAGCGTCAACAAGTAAAGAACCGGAACAGAAACTTTCTGCAGGACCCTCTTCCAGTCGCGGTCCAGCAAACCCAGTTCATCCACTGCCAAAATGAAGGTAGACTCATCCACTATTCCCATGGCAGACAGAGACTCAGACCACGGGACGTTCATTGTCTGCTTTGCCAAGCATCTATCTGAGCTGCGCATCTGCTCCTCCAACTCCTCTGTTGCACATACCATTTGGCTGACAGCAGGAAATTTCCGTTTCCACGCCAACTGAGGCAGCTCAGAAATGTCAAGGTACGGAATCCCTGAGTCTGTGAAAATATACCTGTGCCTCATCTTCAGGCCTTTGGGAGCATGGTGCATAGCAGCGGACTCCTTCAACCTGTATGAGGACCACTGCATAGCAAACAGCCCTCTCCCTCTCACCAAACACGGCCTTTGCACCGGGTCCGTTGAGCTGCATTTCGTAGACCGCAGCATGTCTTGGGAGTGTGGTGTCAAAACTGTACACTGTATTTGTCTTGACCCTGGTGTCTGATGTTCGCCACGTGATGAAAGGGGCGGCTCGCGGTCGATCGGCAGGAATCAACGCCTGCCATTCGACCGGAAGTGAAACAACGCCACCTGACTCATCAACCGACAGCCCATCACAGGTGAGAGAAATGCCATGTAATGGTCCCGACGAGCCTGGGACGATGAAGTCAAAACGCCCTGAGGCAATCCTGGCTTCCGCTTCAACACAGCTGTCAGCTGGCACTGAAAGGGCCATTGCCACATACGTGGGTACAGCGTCGGGCTCAAGAATTATGAAGGATCCTTCAACTTCTTCTCCTGCAGGATCCAAGGTCCGGAGCTCTATATTTTCTTCCATGTAAACCGCGTAAGCGCCGTAAACCGCACCTGCGTTGCGCAACAAGTCTTCTTCACTTGTATACGTTGCAACAACCAGGGTAGACGGTAGAGAGCCCCTTTTCATTTTTCATCATTTTTCCAAGTTTGACCCCTGGTTTGAAAATGTCCATACAACCTAGCACATCAGTTTCGTTCCCCTTCAAAGGTGATCTTCAATTTCGATCCAGCCTTCAATGAAGAATGCATCTGAAGTTTGTATGGCTCCAGAGGCAACGCTGCGAATGTCGGAGCTGTACATGTCGGAATGACCGGTGATTTCATGTCCGGCCGCTGTGGCATGACCGCCGGCTTGGCACGCTCGTTGGCCACAAGAGTTCGTTGTTGCGCGATTCTTGTCTCCCACTGTTTGTCTTCATTTGCAACGTCTTTAACTCGTGCTCTTTGAGCGTCACGGCGGCTTGGGCATTAGCAAGATCCGTTGTCAGCTGCGCCTGACTTGCTGTACGCATTCCTAGAACCACTTGGGTATCTGCAACGCAGCCTGCTTGGACGTTTTGATAGGCAGTCATGCAAGCTGGATCAGAAGAGAACGCACAGCCTCCTGTTGGAGAACAGGAGCAACACGCCAATGACGAATTGATGGCCTGCGCACAGGGATCTTGCACAGGCTGATCAGAAATCAGTTCCCAGCCGTCAACCTCATACAAGACATTGCGGCTTAGTGACGGACCCGGCGAAACAAGGCATACCTGTGGCTGGTATGGTTTTGCACCCAGCGCAGTCAACTGGGATTGCAGCGTAGTCACCTGTGTTTCTGCTGCCGTCTTGTCAGCTTGGACCACTGGAAGCTGGCTTTGAATTGTGTTTCTGGCGGTTTCAAAAGAGACTAGATCACTTTCCATTGCTGCAATGAGCGTCGTCTTCATGCTTACCGCAGTAGCCACATCATCCTGCCACGATCTGATGGCTGATTCGTAGTTCTGGCGCTCACGCAATTTCACGTCCCTGTCCCTTTCACACTTCGTGTGTTTCGCCAATTCCGTGGCCATACCTCGTAATCGTTCAAGAGTGTTTACACATGCAGTACTCTTGACAGCTTCTTGGCGAGCTGGCTCCAACCTGAAGGCCTCTACAAGCCCGTCAGTGACCGTGGCATTAGTGTCCAGAACAACGGCCGTGAACCCCGATAGCAGTCGGGTGAGACAGACGATGAACCAGAGACTAGCCATGGTCCTGCGGGCGGATCCAATACAGGCCAGATCCAGCGTAACCTTCCTTGAGCCAAAATGGCTACGGATCAAAGGATCCATCTTTGGGGAAGTGATCAACCCAGAAATCACATCAAAGGGGTGCCAAATTTGGAGAATAGGGGTTCCCCTGTCACATCACATCGCATCCACTCACTGATAGACCCTAGGGCTCCTCCTCAAAAGATGGTTGGTGCCAGGGGAGTCTAACCACCTTCTGAGGATATGGTTGGAGCCCTAGGGAGACTCAAATCATCCAACTCCGTGTGACTCCTGGACATGTCCTTTTTCTTCACCTCCACGCTCCGTCCGGTGAGTCCTTCGACTTCTACCCTGCAGGATCGATCCGGCGACCCTCACCGCTCGGCGGAAGCATCGGATTCGAACCGGGAGACGGGGCAGTGGAATGTCTTCCTGGGGCACGAAACCGAACAGTTTGTGACGCAAACGAAACGCGGTTCCGACGCAGGAACCGCGCGGAAGACCGACGAGAAGAACGGAAGACGCGTAGCCCAAAACGCGCTGTGTGGCAAGCATCTGACCCTTGCAGTCCAAGGATTTGTGTCTTGCCACTCTTATCCTGGCGCGAAGGTTTCGTGGACCTTCGCAGACCTTCAAGTAGTGTGTTTGTGATCAGATTCGTAGCGAGGTCGGAAATTAGGCATGCCCATGCGCAAAAAACATAGATATCAGAATGCCAAATGCCAGCATTCTATTTTGCAACCCTCTCACCCATGCAATCACTGATGCTCCAAAAGCCAGGCCGAAGCCACCAGTGAATCTTCATGCAACCCACGACAACAACGTGCATTTATCAATTACAGGTACTATTATTGCACTAAGATGCATTAAGTTTAATCATATTTGACATGTTCTTGACCTAGGGAATCCTCGCCCACAACTTCCCACAACCACGTCGCACATCACTCAAGCAATATGTGTTATATAATTGTAAGTCAAAGAGCGACAGCAGCAGTTTTTCTTACTTCTCAATTAATGGGCGGGTGAATGATTGCCTGCCAAAACTTGTCGCTGCTACTTGTCTCCATAGTCTCCCTGTCGCTTGTCCCCCTACTTGTCTCCTTGTGGTGGATGTTCCTGTGGCTGCCGTGCTGTGTTCCCTATCGCTTGTCTCCATGATCTGTCGTTGACAAAGAAAACAGTTCCAAAGGGATGCTTTTGTCCCATCCAGCGAGTGGAGTAGCTGGGCGCCCCGACTTCCTCCGTTCGTTCGGCACCCTTTTGGAACCGCTGGAATGATCTGGAATGACTTGGCGAAACGAACCAACATCAACAGACCATGGGACCTTTCACCCTTTCATGTGGAAAGGGATCCGTCTCGAGTCTCCCTGAAGATTTCTTGGATTCTAACATGGGGAGTGTCATTGATCAAGAAGACCCTCATGACACGGAGGAACTTTGTTGATTGTCCAATCATCCCAGAGCTCTTTCTTCAATGCCCACCATCCGTTCATGCCGTTGTACCTGGATCTTCAAACAACAAAACTGTTTGCCGGATTGGTTATTCAGTGAAAAAACACCATAATCAAAGAACAACTTACCTGTTTTAGGGGTCGCAAACATGCATGTGCTCAAAATCCATATGGATGGGGAGAGACGTCGTTTGGACGCCTAAAGACGCCGTTGAACACTTTAAAACGGTTCTATTTGGTTTCGACTCCGCCAGTTCGCAACAAAAAACACTGTTTTTCTTGATCAAACGCCGTAAGGGCATTTCATTGAAAAGGCCCCAGGCAATTGTGTATGCCGTTTCCAAGATCCAGGCATGTCGTAGTTGTCCTCAACCAATGTTCCCTTTCCATTTGCCCATCTACACCACATGGGCTCCCAACTTCCCCAGATCCATCTGTCCCGTCCCAAAAACCGCGCGCAGCTCAACCGCGTAGGGGTGACCGTGTGGGGAGCCGCTTGCGCCGCGCCGCGAGCCGCGCCGCGCTTGCGCCGCGCCTCTCGGATCTTCAACTCCTTGGAACTCTGATCCAACAGGTCGCGCATCACCTGGTGTGGGCGGAGCTCGGTTCAGTGACCTATAGAAAGGACCAAAACTGGAGTACTCAAAGGATAGTCTATAGGGTTCTTCAAAGGGTCCGGTAGTATTGGGTTCTTCCTTGGAAAACCCTTCAAAGGAGAGTCTATAGGGTTCTTGAACCTTTGCCTTTGCTGGTGTACTGCACTGCTGGGTGGAGAGCGTGCGCCGAGCGTGCGCCGAACCAAGATAGTGCAAGAGAGGCCAGTGAAACATGTGCATCTCGTTTTGTTCAACAAACATGAGCCCACAATGAAACGACCCCTAATCCGTCCTAATTATACTGTATAATAATTAGTCCTTCAGAAACATTGTTGGGTCTTTAATTGAAGCGGGTAGCCAAGGGTGACGTTTTCGTCACTGCAAACTCTGAAACCATAGTGCCGAGTCTGACTCACTCAGGCTGTGGTACAGGCTGCCCTAGCGATTTGTCTCCCAGCATCTCAGAAGGTGCTTCGGGTGTCAAAACATGGGTTAGTCCCCCACCTTCGCACGTCAAAACACAAAGCCTCAAGTTGGGTTGGGTTCTGAACTGCCTGCACGGGGGGGGCTCCAATAAATGTGAAGTCTCGCAATGAGGACCACTTGGATGCAAAAAAACTCCAAAAGCGATCGCTGAATCAACATGAGTCAACCAATGTCTGGAATCTAGACTCTTAGATGCGTTTCATCTGGACGTGGGCTTGAAACTTGGGAACTGCGTCTTTCCACCCAAGTCAAACGCAACACATCAAACGCAACACACACACACACACACACGCGCACACTTCGATAGGTTCATTCAAGTGATAATCAACAGTGCAAGGAATGAGGGGCCAGGCTGCTGCAAATCCGCTGGAAATAGGTTTGGGGGAATATCATGCAAGAACCATGGAAACAAAAAACGGCGCAGGAAGAGTAGTGTTTTTTCATTCGCAGGTACACAGGGCTGATCAGGCCCTGCTTCCCACTCTCGCCCACAGCTTCGTTGCGTGTGGTAGGGAGAGTGCCACACGCCCCTGCATGAGCCTTATTGAGACAGGGACACCCACACACAACATGCCACATGCACACTTCCGAAAGAATCATGTTGAATTTGAATCCGTTTCGGTAGCGTGGCCCTGGCCTTCCCAGCGATCTCGAAGGCCGTCAACGTCACCGAGGATTCAGACCGAAAGATGTGCTGCGCCGCCCGGCGGAACAGGCCGCTCATGGTGTGCGTCTTACCGCTCCCAGTTTGACCAAACCTGCAGCGTGCGTGGTATCGAAGACTCCGCTGAGATCGGATAGATCGGAAGGGTTTTGGACTTCGGATCGAGGCGTCAAGGGGATGTAAGGGTGGCACTCCAAATTCCAAAGGTTTTAAAGACCCCGACCAAAGACTTTAATACCTCGGAGTGGTTGTTGATGGCCCCTCTTTAGAGGTCGGTAAAGGGGTGTCCCTTCACCACCCCGATCAGTGGGTCCCGTTAGTGTACACCCTACAGACCATCCATGGGAGAGAAAGTGTTACATGCATACATTGACCCAGTGAAAATGACCCATCCGTGTATGCATCCACCTGGATCTTCCATCAGGTGCTTCGCGGTGATAAGTTCGGTGCCCAGAAACCACCTGTGGTCGGGTCCCAACCAAGGGTCCTGGTACATGGTTGGTGTGGGAAAAAATCACTTGATCTTCCCTCGGCCAGACGGCCAGCCTGATCTTGGATCCGGGCTGGCAACTATATTTTGGTTTTTGATTTCAGGGGTCAATGTATATATATATAGTATTCCATACATAGCATGGACTGACCGAATCAAATGATAAAATTTTGAAACGGGGTCACTTGAGGAGTGACTGCGCTCAGGGTATAAGTTCGGGTTCGGCAGGTGGTTGTTACCCAATAACTGGATCTTCCAAGTCTGCAACATGTCCCTCCTCGCCAAGAAGTGACACATAAACAATGTGCCCGACACATTAATGACCAAACAACGAACACCTCCACTGCAAACACAAAACTGCATGGGGACACTGACATGATATTACTTCACTTCGAGTGATCCGCACCATGACGTTTGAATCTGACAATTTTTTCGGCATGTATTGAAACATGATTTCGACATTCTTTCTGGCGTACCTTCTGACATTCTGACATACTTCTGATTTTTTCCTGGCATATCTTCTGACATTTTTTCTGGAGCCCCTGTGGAATTACCGGTGTACCTTGGGACTTGATTTTATAGTGATAAAACGAAAAGCCAGGCTCCGAGGGCGGTTTGCACCGCTATAGAATCACGTATCAACCTCCTGCAGTGCTGGAAACATGTTATCTATGGAATCAAATGCATCAGGGCATGGGCGTTCAGCATCATGAAAACATCTGACAAAAACTTGGAAAAGCAATGATGCATAGCCAAGGTGGTTTTTGATTCTATAGAGACGTGTAGGGACATATGAAGGTTTAGAAAAATGTTGACCTGCCTGGCCTCACAACACACCATCCACTCTAAAATCAATTCTCAACCTTCGGCGAACTCCAGAGAATCAAATGTAAGGACCTCTATAGAATCTGGTGACATGGCCTGCTCTGTGTATAGAATCAAATGTCGGCGCCCATTTTGAGAGGACAAACTGACTTTTTTGAACCCCATGAGGTAGGTTGATATTTGATTCTACAAGAAAACTGTCTATAAACTCTGAGGGTCATTCTGAGCACAAGCTCCCAGACTCTACAGATGATATTCGGCACAAAATCTTTCTGGCATGTCTTTTGGCATTCTTTCTGGGATATCTTCTGACTGTCTTTCTTGCATATATTCTGACATTCTTTCTGGCATATCTTCTGGAACACTGCCGTCCGGAGCTGGCTGTTGAGGTCCTTCTGACATTCATTCTGGCATATCTTCCGACACTCTTTCTGAAATTCCTTCTGGTTTTTGACATTTTCTGACATTCTTTCTGGCATATCTTCTGACATTCTTTCTGGCGTTCTATCTGGCATGTCTTCTGACTTGCGGTTGAGGCCCGGCGGGGAACACTGCTGTCCCGAGCTGGCGGTTGAGGTCCGGCGGGGAACACTCACCTGACAGGGGGGGAATCGCAACAACTTTAGCTTTAGCGCGTACTTGGGAGTACATTTGCTCCATTTTGATGATGCGTCCGTGACAAGACATACTACTCTGTACACCAATTGCTTTTATTGACTGCAACCCACCTGTTCTAATTGGTTCAATGAACCCCTACTGTTCCAAACAAGTCGACCATCCTATCACTCGCACATGTCCCAGAGGCATGAAGACTGTGGCCACCTTTCCAGCCAACATGTGTTGGACCTCAGAAACGGTTGTCGCTTGGTCCGTCCGATGGTCGCGGGTCGTTGGATCTGGACTTGCCGTTGGAGCTGTTTCCCTTGGAGGGCAAAAGGTGGAGCACACTTCCTGTCTGCTTGTTTTGAGTTGGGCAGGTTGGCAGGTTATCCACTTGTCCTGGGTAGGAACAAGTGGTTTCTGTCCACTGAAAGTCGGGCGTTGATGAATGTTCATGTGACTTTGAGGAGCGAATCATCAAAAATGGTTGAGAGGGGCAGCTCCAATGACACCTGAAAAATAAATCCGCCGACCCCACACCGTGGGGTGAGGCGTGACTGTCGATGTTAGCCTTAGCCTTAAGCCTTAGCCTTAGCCTTAGCCTTAGGCCTTATCCTTAGCCTCAGACCTAGTCCTTAGCCTTAGACCTAGACCTTACCTCCCCTACCCCTCCGGACCCTTGTTGCAGTGACGAAATCCTGCCCTAAAAGCGACCGGATGGTGACCTGGATTGTCCAAGATTCTGCCATCCCAATTGATTTACATCTTGGGGCACCCTCTCGACCCGCGCGGGAAAATAAGCACGGTCCAAAATGGTCCTGGGCTCGAATCCCGGGCTGGTCGCGGCATGGTCCCGGCCAATGCCCTTGCTTTTTCGTAGATTTTGTCACGTTTTCTGTTGGTTTATGAGATTTTCAAAGGCTTTCCTGGCACTTTCCTAGGAATGCTCTAGGCTTTGTCTTTTTGGGTACCTGCTTTGGTGGTGCTGGGTTGGGTCTAAATTGGTAAACCTGGGAGGTACCCAAAAAGTCGACTTTTTGGGTACCTGCTTTGGTGGTGAAGGGTTGGGTCTAAATTCTTGGGCAATGATCGGGGTTCATGCAAGAGCTGACGTCCGATGGTAAATCTGGGAGGTACCCAAAAAGTCGACTTTTTGGGTACCTGCTTTGGTGGTGCTGGGTTGGGTCTGCACTCTTAAGGCTAAGGCTAAGGCTTAAGGCTAAGGCTAACATAGAGCAAGGCTAGAGCTAAGGTTCTATCCCTTGGGGGTCGGCGGCTGCAGGCGGTAGCCTGGTAAATATATCATTTATGGGTCCTTTGATATAGCCATAGCCTTCCTCAACCATCAAAGTGACACATGAACCTCCATGTTAGACACATAGCAAGGATAGATCAATAGGTTAAATCACCTAATTACCTTATAAATTAATAAATCGATATGAATCCTTATAAGGGGATCCGATCGAATCACAATCTTTCTTGGAGGGACCCTCCGTTCGCCCAGCACCACCAAAGAGCGATCGCAAAACAGCAAAAAACATGCAAAATTCAAAAGGGCGCGACCAAGACTATCAATAGAGAGCAAGACAAATCACGAAAGTGTAAGCGAAGTCACACGGGACTGGATCGCGTGGCAACCATTCCTATTCATCATCCACGAAAAACAAGTTTGAACAGTATACAGTACAAGTATAAGCCAGAAATGCCTCAAACAAATAATCAAACTTTTCCTACGTGTGCCAAGAACTGCCTGGAGAAGAAGCCCAATCCACATCATCATCGCCATGACCACAACCTGAGCCGAAACAAGCTTTAGTCAACCCCAATCATCTTACGCGAAGTATGTGCGGAATGGCTCTGCGGTAATGACATCGTGAACCAAAAAATGCGTGGCGCTCTTCACCCATCTTCAATAAAAATTCTCACCGACACTGCATCTTCGCCAGATCGTAACATCAATGCGTGGTTGCACCCTGACCATGTGCGATGGCGCACACATGCACATGGATGAATCGGCAGCTTCGTCTTGACGGGAATGGCACTTCCCGATTCTTCACGGACTTCTGCAACGTAGGCCTGAAGAATGATCGGCACAAGACTGCACACGTTTGCCTTGCCAAACACATGCTGACGCGTCTCCAAAACACGGTACGCAGGGAGCACATGGGCTTTGCAGCGCAATGAGCCGAACTCAATTGAACTCGCGGTACCACTTGCGCCAGCCAGGGGCGTACATCATCTCACGATGCGTCCAGACGCAGCATACTTCAAGACCACGTTCAAGTTGGTAAAAATGGCCTGGTATGATGCCATGCGCGCATAAGCCATCTCGAGCACCATGTGGGCTTTCATGCCGTGTGTGACATCCACGAGCGTCTTCTCGCCATCGAATTTCACCAAGACACTTCCCAAGTGTTCTTGGCACTTGGGGGCATCGGGTGTGCGTGCCCGGGTGGGGCGATTGCGCAGTGAAGATACATCAACAACCTCCGATGTAGAAAGCTTTCCCAGGAAGCTTTGGTTAAGAAGCTTTGGTAGAAAGCTTTCCTAGGAAGCTTTGGTTAGGACGCATTTGTAGAAAGCTTTGGTAGGAAGCATTGGTAGACAGCTTTCCTAGGAAGCTTCGGTAGGAAGCTTTGGTTAGGAAGCTTTGGTAGGAAGCTTTGGTAGAAAGCTTTCCTAGGAAGCTTTGGTAGGAAGCTTTTGTAGGAAGCTTTGGTAGAAAGCTTTGGTTAAGAAGCTTCGGTTAGAAAGCTTTGGTTAGTAAGTTTTGGTAGAAAGCTTTCCTAGCAAGCTTTGGTTAGGAAGCTTTGGTAAAAACTTTTCTAGGAAGCTTTGGTAGGAAGCGTTGGATAGGAAACTTTGGTAGACAGCTTTGGGAAGCTTTGGTAGAAAACTTTCCTAGGAAGCTTTGGTAGGAAGCGTTGGTTAGGAAGCTTTGGTAGAAAGCTTTGGTAGGAAAGATATGATAATTTCTGGGGCCTTTGATATAGCCATAGCCTTCCTCCATCATCAAAGTGCAACATGGACCTCCATGTTAGACACACAGCAAGTATGGATCAATAGGTTAAATCACCTAATTACCTTATACATAAATCCATATTAAATCCTTATAAGGGGGATCCCTTCGATTCACCCTCTTTCTTGGAAATAACCAACCTCTCCGTTTCGCCCGGTGAACACGACCGGGGCGGTACCGGTCCAAGGGTCCGCATCGGCTGCACAATGCCGATAGACCTCATCCTCTGACACCGACTCAGCAAAGGCCTCGGCTGGGCTGACCCTTTCAGGTCAAGGCTGACTATTTGAGGTACCATGCATGTCTCCAAGTACCGACCAGAAAGTGGGTACCGGTTTTTTAATAGGCTTCAAAGTAGATTGCACAGTCATCACACCGGATTCACTAGATGGCTCGAAAAAAGAGAAACCGCATAGAAACCGCATGGAAAGGTGGCTGAACTGGTGTGCAATCTTCTCCGAAACGACTGTAGTGTTGAAGGGTGACACCTAAAACCTGCAGTATGTATAACATAAAATAGTATAATACCCTAGGCTTCCAACAACCATTATAACTTGATAAGCTTTATTACCGAATCAACTAAGGATTTTACGTTACAAAAACCAGGTCAACCATGTGTTTAATGGTCTTGGAAGTCTAGGGTATAGATACACAACCACACTTGCTTTATGGAAGTGATGCACCCTGGATCATGAGAAGGGTCTTAGCAACTTGGTAGTCTGCCTGGCAGCTACGGCTAAATGATGTGGCACTCTGCATGCGCTGCCCCCTAAAGAGGCCCATCAAACCTTTACCGATCCTTTCGATTTGGACCGTTGACCTGATCCTCAGGGCAGAAACCTTTCCTCCAAGGCCCGTGACGGCCAAGTGGCAGGTGACCCCAGACCAGTTTTCTGCATGTTACATGTTCGTCAATAAATCTGTCTTCCCTCCCCAGACTATCCATCTACCAGGACCTTCCAAGTCCGGTGATTTTTGGACACCTCGACTCACCTCTAAGAGGCGATGTACAAACACCTCTTACGGAAGGTCCTGGTATGGAACAGTTACATTGACCCCACGTATGATCCCAATGTACCACCTGATTCCCCCCAAAGCGTGCGATATATAGTTCAAAGCGGAGGAAACAGATTGACAATGACAAAGTGCCATGTTGGATTGTTAAATGTGATCTTGGGGAACAAACACGACATATGGCAGTGATACGGCATCCCTTCAGAGGCAAACTTGGACCACAAATACACTGGGATAATTCAACAGTTTTTCTCAGGTGTCTGCCAAGGATTCGGCTTAAACAGCCTGGTCAATCAGATTCGTGCGTAAATTGTGCGGTGTCCAAGTGCAAATGTCCAGTCTCCAAGTGTTCGCCATGTTCGCGCAAATGTCCACCATATTCCGCCACTGTGTCTGCCATATTATGACTTGCGCAAGTCAAATGTTACAAGTTGCATCAGCCTCCAAGAGTGATCCCTTCATCACCCGTTGGAATGCCAAAAGTTGAACTGGAGAGCGTGCTGTGTAGGTGCGTCTATAGGTTTGTTTTCTCAATTCTGCCTCATTGTGCCCTATCTGTGCCAGGTGCAGGTCAAGAACACCAACAAAAAACAACACATATATGGCATATGGCATTTTTGGGGCATGACTTGACCGCTCCCAAAATCTTGTTGTCGGACCCGTGGCGTGTTTTGCATTCAAAGGCTGCTCCAGGTATGTAACCCTAGGGCTCCAACCACCTCCTGAGAAGATGGTTGGGGTGGGTGCCAGGGGGGTCTAACCACCTTCTGAGGATATGGGCCCTACTAGTTCTGAGGCCAACCTCGGCCCAATGTGAGACCGCCCAACAGCGCCTGTGAGGGGAAACCAAAAAGCTCTTCGGTTCCTCTTAACCACTCTCCAACTCCACCAACTCTTCGGTTCCAAAGAGATGTGCCTTGGGAGTGGGACTTGGGGGAGCAGACTCTGGTGGCTTCTTTCCCGTGACTGGCCCTCGTTGGTCGGTGCCGAAGCGCGAACCGGAGAAGGTGGGACGACCGGGGCGGTGGGTGCCATGTTCCGTCGGGTCCAGGAGCTACCGAACCGCTGAGGTGAAAGGAACGACGAAAGAGGTGTAGGGTAATTATAAGCGGTTGATGTCCTTCTTAGGCGGTGTTTCGTCACCCAAATCCGTCTTTCCTGACCCAGACTTGGCTTGTCTGGGACTGCCAGACTGCCGCCCCAACAAGACCCCCGACTTGCACCACCCCTGGCCGTTTTGAAGGCAGTCCGTCCTGGCAGTCCCAGACGGGTCGTGTCTTTCCTGATGCTATTGGCATTTTATCTGCCATGCATACCCAAACACTCCATGGGACTGCCATAGGACTGCCGATCAGGCCAGGGGTGGTTGACTGGGGGTCAATGGGGCGGCAGTCCGGACTGGCAGTCCCAGACATGTCGTGTCTGGCATATGTCAAGTCTTTGGGGCGATGCAGCTACTGCACCCGACCGAAGTCCTTCGGAATTCCTTAGTACCGAAGTCCCGAACCATGGGACGACGTGTACTGACCCGCAACAAAGAACACCATGCAGGTACGTTTAGAAGGTGTGTACCCATTTGTTGAGGTACGAACTGAGACTCCATCCATCATCCACTTCCAGGATGATTTGAGGAAATGGATCAAATGGACATTGCGAAACACCGAGTGGATGGCCGACAAATTGGACGCACATGCGATTGCCGAGCGATGAAGGCAAGGGACGTGTGCAAATTGGAAGCCCATGTGCGAAATGAAGAGGGAACGAAGGTCAGCTTTCCTTGGGCAATTCGACGTGCTTTGGAAACATGATGAAACATGGATGATCCTGCTCCTTATTCCAAAGCCTCAAAAAACACTTAAAACATCCTGTGATCACTTGCTGTCCCTCCTATGCCCCAAACGCCGGGCCAGTCATCTTCCAAATGCCTTTTCGCATGCACCTCATCCACCTTTCACCTCTCCAGTGCCACCTTTTTTCTCGTCGATTTCGCCTTAAAAACAACTTCCGTAGTTGTCGCGTGCGTCTTCATGGCGCCATCTCCCACCGGTGCTGTGCGCCATCTTCCCGCCGCCGCCTTCGCCTTCTTCGCGGTTCACCGGTGCCTTCACCGTGCCGAACCCGGCAGTAGCGCGCGCTGTGGACGGTCCGGGCGTCGTGAGGCAGTTGTGGATGACGATTTTGCGGCCCAAGGCCGTGGCCACCTCGGCCCGATCCCGATGACACGACCAAAAGTTCAGCGTGGTTCCGGACGTGCTTATAAGCATGTGCTTTTAAGCATGTCTTCCCGAAAAAGGTCGTGTTCCGGACGCGAGATGATGAAGAAGAAACCTGGAGTGGAGCTCTTCGTAGCTCAGAACAAGGAGTACTAAGATGTACTAAGTGCAGTATACTGCTTCTATCTGATTCATTCTGATTCTTGTATGATTCGACCCTGTGAAATGAGTTCCTCGACCGGGGATGGACGTGTTGGTTTGGATGTCCCATGTTCGGTGGCCGAGATTTGAGATACCTTGTACTTGAATGCACTTGACACAAGAGCATAGAAAAGAAGATGCCCAAGAGTCTATTTACTATAAACTATTAGAATAGATATCTGAGATATCTGACAAGAAAGTAGATGCTTTACTGCTTGACATGTCATGTTCTGCAATCATCAGTAGTAGGCATTTTGATTCTTTCTGTTGTCCAAGACTATGTGACTCCCTCCCAGCAGTGAGATTCATTCTATACCGCGCTGGTTGAAGGGATGATCTAGAGCAATACTCCGGTTTCACTGAAGAAACATGAAGAGCATCTGGGAGTCTGTGACTATGCCAGTGACCACGGTGACAAAAGGATACCACCACAACTGCCAATGTGTGCAAAGTATTGCAAAGTGGTTTCTCTCATGTCCCTCGAGCCCCTCGAGCATAGCATCGGGCTAAGGCTCTGGCATCGAACTCTTCCTGAGCTCTGGACGGTCACCCTCTTCCATGTCTGCTTCAACGGAGAATGTCCCGCTTGCAAACGACTGTGCAGAAGGAAAACCCAGGAATGTGCAGGGAGCCAAGGCAGCCAAGCTGCCCCTCAATCTTGTACTGGCCATTCAGAGAGAAGGGAATAACGGAATAGCATATCATCTTCCCCAGAAGTGAAGTCAGTCACCAGTTCGGGACAAATGGAAGAATCATAGAAGATCCTCCTAATAAGCAAAACCAAGACGATATGAAGCCGACCCAAAGAGCAATGACTCAGCTGAGTCGAATCTGTGTTCGAGTCACCCGACCCCCAAAAAAACAGGTAACCCAGGTCAAAGAACTCATGTCATTTGGGTCCGGTCACACAATCAAGAGATAGAAAGAGTCATCTATCTATTTGGAGATCTATATACCCAGGCAGTTCCCGAATCCCTTTTCAAGTCCCAGGCCCAGCTGGATGTGGATGTTATATGGACCCCTCCGACTTTCTTCGTTCGTTCGGCACCCAAACATGGCTGGTAGAAGATGGTGCAAGTAGACGTGACTGCCGTCGTTGATAGATTTTTTTGTGGGGGTCCTGTCCTGTTCTACGGTACGAACGAAGTGAGGTCCAGGGAGGATCTTGAGATATCTTGATCTATGATCCTATTTTAGGGATGGCGAAATACTGCAGAACACCTGGTGTATTCAACCAGGGAGACCTCCCAGGCGTTCCGGGCTCCCGTTTTCAGAAGGCACGATCGACTGGGAGACCCACCGGGAGACCCGGGAAAAAATCGGCCAAGTCTCTTCTTCTTTCTCATATTCGAATAGAGGGCGCTTCCTCACATAGACTCGTACCCGACATTGTTCAGCTTCCGGGCTCGAAGAATCCTCAGTTCAACGGCTCTGGAGCTGTGTCTTCGCTTCCGTCATCCAAAGGGAACTCAAATTTTGGCTGAAGGTGCTGGTCTCCAAGCATCACTGAGTGGTTACCTCGACGATCCGAGACAAACACATCTCTCATGACTCATGCCGGAATCCTGGTTCCATCTGGTTCCATCTGGTTCCCTTGGGCCAGGCATCACTGTGTGTTCCGAAGCACCGATGCTGAAAAAACATGGACCATGGACTATGGCCGTCTGGCCCAACGCTGGGAACATCCGGAAGTTCTGCGCTTCACTTCAAAACTGCTGGAGTCATCCCTTATAAAGATCCAGTCGTACCGAACCTCAGGTTCGGTACGACTGGATCCCTACACAGCTTATCATCAGCCCTGTGTTTCTCTCCTCGACGAAGGACGCTAAAGAAGAGCTACTATCAGGAGCACCGTATGTGCTCATATCGCCAGGCGTTTTTGCAATCCAATATTGTTGGTACTTTACAGTCTCAACATACCTCATGATTGGGTCATGTCCCATTTTCTAGAGTGCAATGGAGTGAGTGTCGAGGCATATGTCATCACTATAACCCGTTGCCGTTTACGTTTGGCCTCCCTTCTGAGAAGGTGGGACTGGGGTGGGTGCCATGTTCGGGTCCAGTCATACCTCCTGAGGAGGTACGACGAAGTCGGTGTAGGGTAATATCTGATATCGGCTCCGGCACTGTTATCGACCCTCTTCAATTCACCGAACCCAAGCCCCCAGTCTTCCTTGGGTGAGTCTGAGCGTTTGACCTCCGCAACAGGACCCGGTCCGAAGCTTTTAGTCGTTTCATCCCAGAAGAAACGGCGCAGGTGGAATGGGACTGCCAGTGAGACCGAGAAATGGCCCAGTGCCCGGTGGTTTTTGGGCGGTCGGGTGGAAGGGGCTGGGCATTGCTAGCCCCATTGGCCGCATTTCAGAACTACCTCGATTGACCTTCCAGCCTGGTGCCTGGGGTGACCAGCTCGGAGCCCAGAAACCACCGAACCTGGTTGGGTCCCCACCCTAAGAATCCGGGCCCTCAAACACATAGGGTTTGAGGGCCCAGACCCTTGCTATGGAGCCTCTCATTCTTTTTCAGGGTCCTGGTATCTCATCACCTGCCAGGAATCACATGTCGGGGTCATCACTTCCGAACGGAGGAAGGAGGTCGTCGGTGCCGCACATTCACCTCCACTCACGATCAGACACGACATACCAGGACCCTCCAAGAGGTGAATATCAATAGCCTCTTAGAGGCAAAGGGTGTGTCCAAAAAACACCTGACTTGGAAGGTCCTGGTAGGGACCACTCAACTCCATACTCAACGTCCATGTGCGCATCTCTTCGCTGCACGGATTGGCTCCACGTCGAGGAGCTGTCTGTCTTCGTCGCCACTGATCCACGTGCTGCTCGAAGAGCTCCTTGTGGCGCCTGGTGTCGACGGGAACACTGGACATCCAACAGAGGTTAAGTGACCTTATAGGACACTACAGGGGTACCTAGGGGATAGCCTATAGGGTCTTTCAACCTCTGTTGGATGTTCCATGCAGTGCATGTCATGTAACTCTTCCATGCCCGTTTGGCGTCCAGTCGTACCTTCTGAGCCGAGGTTCGGTACGACCGGAGGTGTAGAGATGGAGTGTCTAGGGTTGGAACTGGGTGAATTCTTTGAGCCACCCAGATCGCGAACCTTCACAGCCCCCTCAAGACCCCAGACCCCTCCAGAGGATGAGAGTCTGCTGCCTCCGTAGGTGGTCCATGAACGACGCATGCGTTGCTTTAGAACCAAGAAGCGGTTGAGACGAGTTGGTTCACATCGCAACGGATCCGCTAGCCGTGATCGGAGGACCGGGGGGGACGATCTAACTCTGAATGTTCCAGTGGATCCAGGCCACCATAGCTGGTATGTAATCCCTATGGATCCAAGTACCCTCTGAGAAGGTGTTTGGGGTGGGTTTGGAGGGTCCAAGTACCTTTTGAGGAGGTACTTGGATCCCTAGGGAATGTAACCACCACCAACACCCGTAACTTGGTGCATCTGTTCCACTGTTCCTAAGGACCGGTGCTGTGGCTCGTCGAGGTGACGACGGGGCACCGACGAATACTCCTTCCTCCGTTCGTTCCGAACCGGCACCCCGTCTTGTGACAAGACGGGACTCCCTGGAAGAGATGTATTCAAACATATGGAGACCTCAACCAACTGGTCTTGGTCAATATTTCCAACCTTCCAGAGGGCCGAACTGGATGGTCGCCCTATTTAATGTGACACGCCCAAGTCTCACACGCTATCCCTTCTGTGGGGCCTGAATTGCGACTACAGGACAGCTACTGACCCCAGGCCCCCTAGGACCCCGCAGCCGAGGTGCTTCCGCAGCTCTCGCTTGTCGAACATCTGTCGAGTCTCCTGCAGGTCGACCAGTGAAATCGGAGGGCCCTGCAGGGGAGTCGACCTGTGAAAGTGCCCTCGGAAAATGGGAGTCGACGCGTTTGGGGGCTTGATAAAACCATCCTGGACCTTCAAAAGGTAAGAATATTTTAAACTCTTGGTTCATTGACCTAGCTTTGCCCACAAACAGCCGCAAATCATTGCAAGCGTTCAAACCAGCCATATCGGCCCAATAGTTCAGTTCTTGGTGTGACCAGGAAGATGTTGGTGTATGACCTTCAAGAACATAGATGATTACACAAGACCTTGAGATTTCTCAATGTTTGTGCAAGAAAACAAACACAACAACAATTATCAAAGACTCAGCGACCCCCACAAAAGGTGGGTGTCCACTTGGCATGGATTGTTTGGAATGAGCGCTACTGATAAGCTGGAGAGGGGCTCTTGCTATTGAGGTGCGCCCTGCCCACTGAGCTGCCTTTTCTCGTCGTCCAATTGCTTCCACTTGTGCACTAAGGGTTGGTCTCAAGAGTTGATTGCTGCCACCAACAGGCTCAGTTCAAGCTGCTATCAAGCCGCTAATGCATTTATGCATGCATATGTGCACTGTGTGTATGCATACACTTTTTGACAACACGATGGCGCACTCAGCTTTAGCCCAGCAATGGGAAGCAGTTGGGACACTTCGGGATAGAGCAAGAAGACTGCAGCTGGCAACTTGCCAACATTAGTTTGGTAGGGTGCTTGTGGGGGCTGTTGCAAATCCTGTAGGTTGAAGGTTGCACAACACCTACAGCCTGTAACACCAGTAAGTTGAGGTGGAAGTTTTGGATGGTGCAGCAGACAGGGACTCCGTGAAGAAGAACATCGACCTGTTGGTTCCAGCAATTCAAGCCCTTGGCTATAGAGTTGGTGTGAAAACATGCCAGGTCCATGTAGCGGCATGTTATGAGACAATGAAGATTCCGTGTCCAGGTGTTTTGGCACAATTGATTACATCCAAATTGTACTATTTGGTTTTGAAAGTGTTGGGGTCTTAAGACTACAGCTTAGTTGATGTCAGGATTGCCTGACACAGTCTTAGGCTTGGTGACTGACACCCAGGGGTGGCAGCTCAGACGCTTGATCAGCTTTACGAACAATCGTCTTGTGAATCGTCCAAACCGACCTCGAGACCCAGAGCTGAGAAGGTATATGGATGCACTAGGGGTCTTTTGGGAGAATGCAGGGGAGGAAGCGGCAGAGGCGGGAGAAGAAGAAGAAGATGAGGGAGAAGCAGAGAATGAGGCAGAAGACGAGGCAAATGAAGGATACAATGAAGAAGGCGAGGAGGAAGAACCCAGGGAGGTAGATGAAGAGTGCAAAGATGAGAGTATGAACGAGGAGAAGGAAGCAGCAACAGCAGGTGAGGTTTCTGAAAAGGTTTGTGGAAAAGTAGAGCTCTCTGTAGAAGGGAAGGAGGCGGCAAAGGAGGAGCCACAGCAGGTCCATCTATCTTCAGGTGGGGTGGGATTGTACGCGCTTACTGTTTGCAAATTTAATCGCCGCAAATGGTGCGTGCATACTGTTGTAAGTTCAATGCGTTGTTGCCAGGCGACTCTGGTGGTTGTACCGAGAATAACACTTCATTGCCAAAGACTATTGCCAGCCCAGAACCTACACCCTCGAGGTTGGTCACGCCCCCGCCAAAAACAACAGTCCCTCCAACCTTTACTCCAGAGGCACTGCAGGTTACTTGGATTAAAGTTTTGACTATGTGGCGTCAGTTTTTTTACATACGCTCGCTGACTCTAAAGGCGCAGCCTCACCCATGTTTTTGAGGCTGGCCAGAAGAGACTCAGCAACTTGAGGGCCCTGGAAGCCCAACTTCAAACTCTAGAGAGGTTGGAGGCCTTGGCGGCAAAAGTGAAGAGCCCCCTGCCACCAGTTCCAGGCAGCAAACTTAACAAATTTTCATGGCAACTTTTACCGGTACGATCTTTGCAGGAGTGAACATCGACAATGTGGAGACACTTCCATTGGACTATGGGATGGTTGAGTTTGTTCTGGACCAGGCCAGGGTAATCACTAAAATGCTCGCCTGGTAGCGTGGGAAAGTTTTTACACACAGAGAGTATACGATCATGACCTTTCTTGAAACAACCGGCCAGGCCACTGTGATTCCTGCAGCTGACGTTACTAGTGGGTCGTCAGCTGAGACTATATTTTGATATGCACGTGTCAATGTGACCATCTTTTTGGTAATATTATGTATTCAAAATGGTTGGCTGTGGCTCTCAGGCCCACAAGTGTGGAGAACAAATCTACATTGGAGGATTGGCTTCATGTATATAGTTCAATTGTGCGGCGCGCACGCTGTTGAGGACAAGATTGAGACAACCAAGACAGAGACCCCGCCACAAGCATCACACCCGGTTCAAGGACCTCCTCCATTAATGATTTGGCAGCGCTTCAACACACTGGACACTTTTACATGTATATGGCAAAGAGTTGAAGGTTCTGAGTCTTAAGAAGTATATATGTGGAGAAGGTGCTATACTTGTGGCTGGGTGTGCGAGGACTTGGTGCGGACAACGAAAAGGAAGAACCCATTAGCGACGACAAGGACAGCTCATGAATTGACCAATTTGCAACTTAAGGCTTATAAGGTACAATGGCCACAAAGGGCGCGCATAAGGATTCTTATGCGCGCCCGTTGTGGCTTCTCAACCTATATCTTAGCTGCTGGGGTCGGACTGTCAATCCTGCATTCATGTGGAGGCCGTGGTGACTATGGAAGTCGATGTCCCTGCTAAGTCCGACGACCAGGATTGTTTCATATTTCAGTTTCTAGTTGGCAAACCTTGCACCCATGACGCTGTGTTTCATTTCCAACCTGTCGCAGGACGCTCAGGCACCTGAGGTTGAACACAAACCTGAGGCGCTACTGGGTATCAGAGACTTTATATATCATGTACGTACCGCGGTGTATATTATTATATCTATAGAGTGTTTAGGTATGTTTAGGGCAAGGTGCATCGCCTCGTTGCAGGTGCTGACAGGGGAAGAGTTGGATCAGAGTCCGCAAATTTCTGGGGAGGACAGCAAGCGTTTCTGCTCAGTGCACGTGTTCTTTAAATTCCTGGCATGCAGGATGGGCTTCCGGAACGTCCAGCTTGTATGCGCAAAGACTTGTTTGTTGCAGCTGCCGTCCAGTGTCCTGCAAAACCCCGGGGTAGGAAAAAGAAAGATGAGAATGAATCTAAGGGCCGACCTGCCAGCTCTAAGGGCCGACCTGCCAGCTCTAAGGGCCGACCTGCCAGCTCTAAGGGCCGACCGAGTGCTGCAGCCTTGGGGTTCTCCACTCATGGAATGACTGATGCTGAAGTAGAGGCATTAGCCAACGGGAGCGGGGGGTCAACTAAAGCAAAGCAGTCCGAGGACGCAACAACATCAAGCAAGAAGCAGAAGCGTTGCAGGAGCACTACAGGAGCAACAAAGACAACAAAGCGTGACAGTACAAAGAACAAGCGTGCCAAACTGGCAAGCACACCCGTTGAGGAATCACAGAAACCGAGAGCACCTGTGAAACGTAAGAGCAGAGGCAGGTCTACGTTGAGGAAGGCAAAGTCAGCCAAGACAGTTGATAGCGCACGAGGTTCAGGTGAAGGCGAGGAGAATGAGGCAAAGCCCAAAGGGAATGGAGGAGGCAGGAAGGGAAAGGACACAAACAAGGAGCCCAAAAGGAATGGAGGAGGCAGGAAGGGAAAGGACTTAAACAATAAGGTGCAGCAGACGAAACCCAAATCCAAGACAACCAAAAAGCCAAAAGCCGATGTCCAAGCCGCCAAAGCCAAAGCAAGCCGCAAGAGCAGCGCTTACCACCAAGCAAAACTTCGAGCTAAAAAGGAAGGACTTTCCAAAGAAGAGCAAAATGCAGCTGCAAAGAAGGCCACTCATCTCAACCTTGTGCCATCTACACTATCAGCTATTAAGCAAAATGCGTGCGTGCCATGTCTCAGGCTTATCGAGAGTGCGAATGAGTGAAAGCTGAGCGTGGGGATTGTTTTGCCTAAGGGCGACCTGGGTTTGCCAATGCATTGAAAAACATGTATTGGCCAAAATGGGATTTGCATTTGCAGTTTCTGCTGCGTTTCTACACACGTGTGCTGTGTATGGAGCAGCCTGATCATGTGTGTGCAGCAACCTGACTCCATTCAAGGTGAAAACGATATGTTTGCAGGATGCACTTCCGGTGTTTCATTTTTCTTTTGTTGGGGAAAGCTGAACAAATAGGAAGTACTATATATATCTAGAATATGATGTATCAGCTTTAGAATTCTTGTTCTGAAATGGTTGCATCCCATCTCACTAGTCTCTCGGACTCGCAAAGCCCCGCGTCAGGTACGCCAATGGGGATCCAAGCTCTTCTTGCCTCACGCGGTCAAACTGCCACGTTGTCTACCGCTGATGCTACACAGAAGGACAAACAGTCTTCTCAACAGACCTGCTTAATTACCGCAGTTGCTGTCTCAAGGCCTGTTTGCTGCAGCTAGGGGACTAACGGCGGTAGAGGTGTGATAGGTATGGAATCGCTCCTCATCCCGTTATATCAAATGGATGCACCCAAGGTCCTGGCCTTGTCTTCAACCATATATATATATAGGAGTACTTGTCACACTGGGTTGTGCCTGCGAGGTCTTTGTCGCAATCGTTCAAAGCTAAGCGGCGCTGTTTGGAAACAGTTTCCTATAGGATATAGAAACAGCTTATAGTTGCTCGGGCCTAGGTCTTGTTGCTACAGTGGACTGAAATGCCCGATCTCTCATGGAACCTCATTGAGCTGTTCAGTGGTCAAGGAAATGTTTCAAAGGCTTTTCGCAAGAGCGGCAAAGCAGTAGCTTCCTTTGACAGGGAACTTGGAGGCCAGGTTCTGATTAACTTATAATATCTATATACATCAAGAAGCATTCCAAAAGGTAAGGCTCGCTTCCGATGACTTTGCAGGCGACAGCATGGACTTCACTCTCTGCGCTGGG